AACTTTAATGAACGGGAAGCTTATACAATAGGCTTTCTTTTAAATATAGAAAAACATAGAATTAGATCTGGTCAATCGTGAGGTGCTATATAAGCAATGTCTGACCGCTGCCTGTCTGCTAGAGCGGTTAGCCAATCCTACTGTAGACGCCTGCTTAGATACATTAGTGTTTGTTCAACACCCACAGAGCCCACTTGGTTTATACTGCAACTATGCTGAGTGGACCTTAGTTACAGAGAACGCATTATCTGGCGTGAGCAGCAGTCTGGTGACTTACGATTTCGTGCTAGCTTAATCATCGATGGTTTCCATATGTTGTGATCAACAGTTTGAACAAACCCTCGGTCACGATGACTTGAAACTTCGTGCTATTGGCGGCCTCCGAAAAGTTCCATCTACGCAGTTTCACTCACAAGGCTAGGGTCAAACTGTGATATGGCTTACAGGAACGTTCCAAAGTACCTGTAAACCATCTTCAGTCCGATAACATCAAGAGGTCACCGTCTCTTCTTCCACCGACTGAACCCAAGTTTCCTGGTTGGGAGGCGAACGTTCTAAACACTTCGACACGCGCCCATCCATATATACATGCATACGCACGTATTCATATAAGCATATAAATACTTACAGAGATATACAAATACATACACATATACATACACACATATACATATACACACAAAGACGAGACAGCAATAAAACATCATAGATATATAAAAGAATCAATAAAAACATATACATCAGATTCATTATTTACTACAAAAAAATTCAAAACTAACAACCTAGTTATTAAAATTAATATATCTCAAACTTCCAATCCTGTATACAAGACTAATGTTGTGTGTGAGTATACTTAGCCACTCGGAGAATGTTTCTCTGTAAATAAAAAACACAAAACGTCTTACATACTATATTCAACAACCACACTCTCCCGGAAACTCACCTGCCATATATCTGACCAGAGTACCACCAAACAACACATTAATAAGCAGCATAAGGATCATAGTAACATTAGATCACTACTCACAAACAATGCCAAAATAGTAGCAAAATCAAACAGTAAAAAACAGACTTATCATCCTCGAAGCAATACTCATATAACGAAAACAACCATCTATAAACAAAATCATTTATAATTTAAGAGCCTTCATTCTCAAATGTATATTAAAAAAATAAATATATGAATAAACACCCACGTCAATACACTCACCAGTTTTACGAAACTCACCATTTATTGTACTAAGGCTACGCACACTAGAATTTAATTTTGATCGGTCAATGTATGGCGATTTTAGAGGCTGCGATGGACGAACTAACAGAAGTCACAGAATTTTATATATAGATAGATAAACAGGAAGAAGCAATAAGTAAAACAAAGATATTGTTTGTTATAGTCCCCCCCACAACTAGCAAACTCAAACAGTAAAAAACAAACTTATGATCCTCGAAGCAATACTCATACAACAAAAATAACCATCTATAAATAAAATCAATTATGATTTGAGAGCCCGTATCCTTGAATATATATAAAATAAACACACGCGCACACCACAACACTCCCTGCTCGTGTCCTCTACACTCACCAGTTCTACAAAACTCACCATTTGTCTCTACCTAGACTGATGATAACTTGACCCATCTTTCTTCTAAAATGAACTTTGGACAATTTCTGACGGAAATCCTATATGGAACCGTCATATAGCCTGACGTGCCTTAACCGATTGAGCCACAGATGATAGCAAGGTCGATTTTACTGTATCCGTATAGGATACCGGTTCGATTCCTGTCGGAGGACGCATATTTTATATGAATATTTCTCGGATATTCAGGCCGGTAAATGCTGTTAATACTGTTTATTATAAAACAGAGCATTTACTTAAATATTTGTATCTATAAAAAGAACGTATAAACATAAAAAATGTCTTAAATAATTGTCGGACTTTGTCGATTTAATAATATATATATATATGAATGGATTTTTCATTTATTAAACCGACATATTTCTAATTTATTTATTTAAACGTTATTTTTTAATGGATACTCATATTTGAGTAGATGCTCTGTTTTTATTTATTTATTAATTTATCCATCCACTGGCCTGAATATTTCGAGAAATCTTGTTAGAAAAATATGCGCCACACTAGAAATATTCAGGCCGGTAGATGGAAATAATATATATATATTATTAAATGATTGATTCGAAACAGTACTGCTTCCATTTTGACCAATTTGAGCTAACAATCAACGAATTATAATTAGAAAAAGTATACAATTCCACCGGGATAGCGTCAGACTACTTACTTTGGTAACCAGCTAAATATTGCTAGGAAGTTTAATTAATCTCTCTTATTCATCGCATATTGCGCATTCAAATTACCATTTATTCTTGTCTTTAGAGAATTCTCTTAATGAGATAAAAAAAAATCAATTTCATGGAATACTACAAAAGGCACCTTGAGGGATTTTTGATGAGAAAGAAAAAATGTCCTGTGAAAATTGAATTATGAAGTAGCCTGAAACATGGCAGACGACAGTGAAACGCGACGGGAAATATTTGTCCAGTTAAGTTTCATTTAGAAATATAAAAAAAAAATATAATAAAAACGTATTGTCTTTTATCTTAAAAAATACGAACAATTTTGTCTTCACATATATTTTAAAATATTTTATTAGCAGATTTTAAAGAAAATATTAAATGGTGTGTGTGTTTATGTGTGAAAAATACGTTGTGTGAAAGAGAGTTTATGGGGGTGTGAGAGAAATAGGGAGTGGATGCGTATGTAGGTGTGAGAGAGTGTGATAGCGTATGTGTGGGATAATGTATATTTATGTGGTAGTATTTTTGTATGCGTGTGAGCGTGTATGTAAATGTGAATGATAGAGAATGTGTGTACGTAAGAGTGAAGTTGGATATGTCAGCAAAAGAGAGCGTGTAAGAATGTGTGTATATGTATTCGTGTGAGAGTGAATATTTTGTTCAATAAAATTAATGAGAAATTGCCATTTATTTTTGCTTAATAAACTGAACGAACGTTTTCACCAACCCATTCTTCTATTGCCGTGTCCCTTCGGGGTGTGGGAGATCATGGTTCTCCACAATTGCCTGCCTCTTGTAGCTCTTAGCAATGTCTGTCTTTTTGCTATATTTCCTCGTCTGTTCCGTCAACCATTTACACAAGTTTTCCTCTGTCTCGCTTGCCTTCAATATGCCATGTTAGTGTTAAATTTTCCAAGGCCTCTTTCCTCATTATGTGCCCTAGAAATTTCAATTGTCTGGAGAAACACATTTCTTACCCCAAGTCTCTTTTTCATCTCTGGGTAGAGTGTCCGGCATTCACTGCCATATAGGAGGACTGATCTTATATAACAACCCAGTACTTTTTTTTCCTGTTTCTTAATACTTTGCTTAGATTTTGGAAGGCATCTTTAGCTATTCCAATATTCCTTCGGATTTCGGTGTCGCATTTTCCGTCCTCTATCAAAACACTTCCTAGATATTTAAATTTTTGTATTTGCTTAATTTTGGTGTCTCCAATTCGTTTTTCGCATCCTGAGTTGTTCCTTTTGCTAACAACCCTACACTCTGTCTTCTTACAATTTATGCCTAATCCTTTCTTCTCACCTTCCTTTACTACCTTCTATAGGAGTGTCTGTATCAACACCGTGTCATTTGGGTATCTTATATTGTTAAGATAGTGGCTGCCAATAATGAATCAAAGAAAACTACAAAAACTACAGAAGTTAGTGAAAGAAACTGAGAAGAAAGGATTAAACATCAACTATAAGAATGTATGGTTGTTAGCAAAAGGATGAACCCAAAGTGCTAATTGCAAATCGGAAATTTAAATATCTGGGAAATGTTTTAACAGAGGACGGAAAGTGTGACACTGAAATCTGAAGGCGTATTGGGATAGCCAAAGACGCATTCCAAAACCTAAGCGTATTAAAAAAGAGAAAATCTTCCTTAGAAACAAGGAAAGGGGCGCTAAACTGTTACATGATATTTGTATTCCTGTATGAGTGCTACTCAAAGATAAAAAAGAGACTTGAAGCAATAGAAATATGGTTCTACAGAATGATTGTGAGGATACCATGGTCCAAACATGTGAGCAACGACAAAGTTTTAGAGAAAATGGGAACAAAAAAAAGGAACTTATATTTAACATGAAGAAGAGACAGGTCAGGTTTCTAGGGTGCAATACCGAGGAAAGAGTCTTGGAAAATCTGATACTCACAGATATAGAGATAGAGGGCAAGTGAGAAAAAGGAAAACAACGGATAACATCACTTGACTAAATGGATAGGTTTGGGAGAAATAACAGAAAGAGCTACAAGGGACAGGAAGTTGTGGAGAGCCATGATCGTCTACGTTCTGAGGTGACACGACACAAAAAGAAGTAAGGCTTCTAATTCTCTAAAAATCGCCTCACTGTATGGGTTGAATAGGTCCGGTGAGAAAACAGATCCTTGTCTTACTCCCCTTTCTATTTTATGTTGCTTTATAGTGATTTACTATGTGTAGGTGAGATGTAGCGTAAGGCCAAAAGTACAGAGAACCTAGTGAGGATTGAACTTAGTTGTAATTAACCTAGCGAGACAAACACGCTAGCCATTACATCACGTCGAAGTTGGTTTATAATTACAGAAATAAATAATAAATTAGCCTTTTATTTTTACTTAATAAACCGAACGCTCTCTTTTCGTTATAGAGTTAATATTATAGAAAGATATGGTTGCTAAAATAATAGGTATAAGCAAATGTTTCAGAATATTCGAATTTCAATTCTAGTTGAATTAGGAAAGGCGCAAATAAATTTTTTCACTGTATTCTGTCCCATCTCCAGATATTTTGCATAACCAGAACGTTTGAGAATAGGTGAATGAAAACTTAGTCAAAACCACTCCCCCATAATTACGTTGCCTACCCGTGTAATATCTCCAAAAATCTGTATATTACATCCATTGTCCATTATGACAGATTCCAATACATATATGGGCTTACAACTATATCACGTTGAAACACCTGTTCCTGTACGATCATTGGAGTTAAGCAACGTTGGGCCTGGTCAGTACCTGATGGGTGACCGCTTAGGAATATCAAGTGCTGTAAGTTTGAATGTGCAGATAGTGTAATGGATAATAACTCTGAATCGTTAATCGGAGAGCCGAGTTCGAGGTTCCATTTTTTTTTCGCCAGCTATGGGTTAATTAATTAAGACTTGTATCACTAAATCAGTATTATCTCCTCACCCCCACCAAAAAATTCTTACAATCTAAAAATATTTTCTGCCTTTAAATAATCTGATAAGCTGTAGAAAACGAATCAATTCAATCAGATATCGATGTTTATTTGCGTTTAGTTTGCCACAAGGTTACACTAGGGGAGCACCAAATTAGGTTGGGATATATAGAGCTAGACTAGTTTGTGAATATCACCACTACAGCAGGTGGCCAAGTGAAAATGATATATTTCGTTTTGTTTGGAAAGTATCCAGTATTTAACCTTAACGAAAATATAGCCGAACTTGTCTTGACGCTCTTCAAAGTACTCCTCTTGGGATAACGCGCACTTTTATTCCAGCGTTCGTTTCATTTTTCATAACCGTCTGCGACGTCATTTTTAGGGATCGCCATCCAGACCGGATAGAGTTAAAAAAAAAAAATTTAAGCAGTCTTGTGGGTAATTGCTTTCCAGCCTAAAACCCCTTTCTCACAAACGAAACGTCGCCAGCATCTTGCTACTATGGAAAATGTTCTGAGGAGGTACATTCATTAGTTCCACCTGTCCTAACCTTCACAGCTAACACCCACGATGTCAGGAATCATCCCCATTCTGTTCATATTCATTAGCAAATAAGAAGTTCCACTCGGATCGCTTCTTCCTAAGAACCGTTACTTTGTGGAATAGACTTTTAAGAGGATGCTTTCCTGGCCACGACAAACTTACCTTCTTCAATCTAGAGTTAGCAGTTATCTAACCCACATATCCTCATAAACTGCAATAACATGTTACCGCTAATACTTCTTCAGTAACCTTCTATATTGAGTGACTCTTGGGCTTTGTATAGGGTGAACATTAATAAAAATATATTTCCTTATTATTATTATTACATTTGCCACAACACAAGAATTAAGTTAGTAACATACACTGGGGATCATGTGACAGCAAGCCTCTTTAATATTCACGTTACGTTCTCAATCTTGTCCAAGGTCTGAAATCTCGACTTCAATGCGTAACTAAAAGATCTGGACATTAGAGTGTGTTGGTATGAAGAATCTACTCGTTCGGTTATTGTTAATGTGATGGTCACACATTATACAAGCCCAATCAATGGCATTTCACAGCTAACTAAGAAAACTACACGGGAAATGTCTGCTTACGCATATGCAGGAAAACCATTTCATTGGTTCCTAGCCAGCTTTCGGTATATTCAAATTGAGACCTTGTAGATATAAAAGGCAGTAAACTACTTACGCAATTTTACTGCTACTATTACAGTAACAATAGATAGGAATAAAAGCTTCGAATCAAAGAATAATGATAACTGTCGAAGATAAATTGTGGCTTTAGATGTTAAAACGTTCCTATAGGAAATAGGAACCTTTCTTTGAAAAGGGATGCGATTACAAATTGGTATTTTATTTGCTCCAATACTAACTTGTTTTTCACGATGGGACTGCTGAGAGGGTTTTTTTTTTTTAATATTCGTTCTTTTGATAACATTGGTGAAAAAAATAAGCAGATATATCATGAATACAAAAGTTAAATTATTTAACATTTACGCTTCTCAGAGGTTGTCGATATTGCAAGTGTATCATATTGAGAAGAAAAGTAACTTGCAGTTTGTTCTTTAATTAAAAAAAATGTCTTAGCATTATAATTTCAACCTGGAAACATTTTAAAGTCAATTTGTAGTTGTAAGAGTCATTGAACCGGCAACATTTAATGGATTGTCAAACTGGGCGTTAATAATCTACTCCAGGTAGGACTGTAACCAGCAGGTGTTTCCAACAAAAGTATACGTTATAAGTTTGTGCGTCTATGAGGTATGTGGATCTATCTGTCTCTCATTTATATATATATATATATATATATATATATATATATATATGCGAGGGTACTGAGAAATTTTCAGCTCGACTAGGAATAAATTTCCAAATAAATTCCGATATTTGTTCATTTGATAAAATTCTGAGAAATAGGTCAGGTCGAGAACTTTTATATACTACACACTAAATACGCCAACGACACACGTGTTCATATATATATATATATATATATATATATATATATATATAAGTATACATTTAGTATTTTTAGTATTTTAGAAACAGTGGGGAAAAATGTTTTTATTTATTACTAGTGTGTGTGTATATATATATATATATATATATATATATATATATATATTATGCAGTTAATATATTATTATTATTATGTTTTATTCAGTTAGCACATTTTGTGCCGCTGTGGTTACCACTCTCCTCCATCTCCCATTTGTGGTTTATGGTGATATTCAAGGAAGAATAGTGCAATGGTTTCCGGGTTCTTTTACACAGTGGATGTTGAGTTTACCCTGTCCCTCCTCTCAGAGGTGGATTTGTTACCTTCTAGCTTTTGCTTACAACGGCAAGACCTAAAAGGCAGAAGGTGGTTTGAATTCAGAGTTTCCTTCTAGATTTGTTGCCACCCAAAAGCTATAGCGGCCAGTCAGAGATAGATCCATACATTTCCAAAGGCTATTAGCACGTAAATGAATGTAATGACCTCGACTGGAAATCAAATTCGTCAGTTTCATTAAAGACGACTGACAAGGTACTGCGATTAAACTTTTTATTCAACTGTTTTATTTCTGGACATAAAGTGTGTAAAAACTTTGTGAATGTTCTATATATCTGAGCGCTTTCTGCTATTCTCTTAGCCGTTATCAAGGATGCCTTTTTTTTTTAACTGAATATGTAAATTTTTATATATGTGTGTTTATAGTGAGGTGAATATTTTGTTTATTTTCCAAACACGTTCAGGACATTGTGGCCGTGTTCATAATTGATGTTATCGAATGTTGGCATTTTAATTTATTGTATATGTTTTTTCGTTTACAATTTTTATTTCGTGAACACCGAGATGTTCAGCTCATCAGAACGAAAACTTCGCAAAAAATTAAAGTCTCCGTCTTCTTATTATCATTATAATGCTCTGTAGTCTACATTGAGCTCTCCCTGGATTAATATCCTCCTCAGAATTATCCCTTCCAGTCACAAACTGGCAAAACGTGTAATTATATAATGTAAGATGAATGAAGAATAAAAAATAATACCGAAGCAACTCAAGTTTCAATTATTTATTGCTTATTATATTTTATTGTTCCTTTATCTTTTGTTTTATAGACCCTACGTTATATAGACTCAATTTTAATTGTCAATTTTATCAGTTGCAATTTACCAACGACGATTGTGCTTCATATATATATATATATATATATATATATATGAAGAAATATAGTCTTAAGATGTGCTATATTTATGGGATAAAGTGCTTAATATCAGAGATAGAGCGAGTGTAAATATAAAAGTGAACATAGAAGTCAACACATGCGTCTAGCATGAAACAGACTGTCGCCTCTAAGTGTTGACTTCTATGTTCACTTTTATACATACATACATACATATATATATATATATATATATATATATATATATATATATATATATATATATATATATATATATACATACACTACCGAACAAATGTTTGGGACAGTCCTGAATTGTTTCTCTAAATTCATAAAATCTTGCATATTTGGATAAATAAATTCACCTATTGTATAGTGTATATGAAATTTTTTTTTATTAATCCGACAGATTTTTATCGCTTGGAACAATATTTTTAGATGATATTCGTATTTGAGTAACGCTCCATATATTTATTAAACAGTCTGCTGGCCTGAATGTTCGAGAAATCATCTTAAAGAAAATTTGCACTTTACGACAGAAATCGAATTTGTGTCCCTCTGTACAGAGGAAGTTACAGTTTAGCTCAGGACACCTTATCAACTTGGCTACGGAGAAAAGTCGGTTAGGTGAAGCGAAATTTCGGGCTTTCAGGTGAAATTTCTAAGTTTTTTTTTTTTTTTAATATCTGCAATATAGGACAATTTAAAAAAAAACAAATCAAAATAGAAGTGATAAAATAATCTAGGCTAAGTTGGAAATTTAGGTATATTTTTTCTTTTTTATTCCATGTATGTGTGTGCGTGTGTGTGTGTGTGTGTGTGTTTACGGACAATTTATTATTTAATATAATTTAGTTTACGGCCCCTCTTGTCCTCAGAGATCGCAACGCATTTTCCTTACACGCAGTTTTGTCATTCACTGACCTGAAGAAGCCGAAATCAACAGACGTTCGGCGAAACGCGTCGTTTATAGCTTTTCCTCTTTGTCTCATCTCTCTATATATAATAGAAGGCACTGTAGTGTAATGAATTGTGGCTCGAATTCCAGTCGGGTTCATTACATTCACTTAAGTGCTAATACCCTTGTGAGAAAGTAAAACTGAGTGAGCCTTTCAAATGTTATTTAAAATGCAATATTATTGGTCCTGACCTGCCATCTCGGCTTCAGTGTTTTCCCCAACGCCGTAACTTTCGTCTTCGGTACCCAGACTTTATGAATTTAAGCGCATAGCTAGATTGGCGGCTAATTCTCATCATTGTACAGTTGAAATGGCGAGATACAACCGTAAATTCTGTGCTAACATTTTCTCCTCTCGCAAATCTCGCATGTGAACCTCTCTCTTTTCTTTTTCTCATATTCTTTCACTCTCAGGAACCACTTGCGTATTAGTGGCTTTAGTGTTTGGGGTAAAATAATTTAAAATAAAAAGCAATACTGATCGGAGTTTCCTTATATTCATATGAGTGTTTGGATTAGATGTTAAAGGGGGATAAATCTTGGAAAAAGCACGTCAATGTCTACATTTCGGACACTAAACTAGCGTTAAATTTTCTGCAATTCTTTCGTCAGACAAATACCTTTGTGTCTGTTTTCGCCCACTACAAGTTTGTACTGTCAGTAAAATTCCAACAATACGTTTCCTGTATAAACCCAGTGCTAAGAGTAAATGGATGTATGAAAAAAGAAAAAACTGAACTATTTGTATGAATTGCCTGTGCTTAATATTCAACACCCAAATCTTTTCCTTTTTTATTTATTTATGCATTTATTTATTACACCTACGATGTAATTTTCTTTTACATAATCTTTCCAAAAATCAACGCCGACGCACGTTTTCAAAATACGAGGTCTGATCAAAAAGTATAATGACTGGTGCTATAAGAAAAGAAAACTACAACACATATCAATTCGGCATTTAATCTCCTTCGAAGTAATCCCCATCTGAAGTCACACATTGATGGAAGCATTCCTGGAAATCCTTCTTCAGCTGCCTCATCACATTCTCTTGGATTTCCTCGACGATTTGAAATCGTGTTCCTTTCAAGTGAGATTTTATTTTTGTAGAGAAAAAAGTCGCAAGGGGCGAAATCTGGAGAATATGGTGGTTGTCGGACCTGGGGAATGTTGTACTTGGCCAAAAACTGCTGCACAAAGCATGGTCACTGATGGAACCTCCGTTCACTTTCCTTCCAAGCTCTGCTATAAACAACGGAAGTGAGCGAGAACGTTATAAGTTCGTGTTTATGCGCGCGATAGACAACAAGATCAATCTATGATAAGCAGCTCCACTCTACGTACTTTAGCTCAGTTACCATAGCAACTATCCTGATACCTTTTTGATTAGACCTCGTATATTAAAGTTTTCAAAATCTGAGATGCTGATTAGAAAATACTTGCCTCAATATTCTTACCCTTCATTGTAAAGGGTGCCCCAAAAGTCACCAAGGGTTCTGAACATTTAATAAGTATTTTGTTTATTAACTGTTTTTAAATTTTCTTTCAGTTATTTTATAAAGGAGGCTTCGAAAATTAATCCGGGAAAAATAAACGATTGAAAAATGAACACAAGTAGTGAAACCTTTCTATCAAAATCCAAGGCTCAATAATTAATCACCCACAAGTCCGCGGAAGCGCTTTTGAATTCTGTCAAGGTTGGGCAAGAAGCATTCCTTACATTGATCGGAGAGATTGATTGATTTGTTTTTTATGGCTTATCAACCTTTTGTAGGTTATTTAAAGCCAAACAGTTTTTTTTGTTTTTTTTTACATTTTTTTGAAGATAATGATTTACTGATACAAGTCCTACTAATTAACCCAAAGTTTGAGGGGAGAAGAGTTGGATTCATAAACATGCGTAAGTGAATATAACGAACACGACTGGAATTGGAACTCGGTTCTCCAATCTCCAATTCCGAGCCGTTGTCCATTACACCATCCGCATATCAAAACTTACAGCACCTGGTATTCCCAAGCGGTCACCCATCTAGGTACTGACCAGTCTCGAAGTTGCTTAACTTCGGTGATCGTACGGGAATCAGTGTTTCAACGTAATATGACCGTAACTTTTGTTGATCGAAGAAAATGAAAGTCTCAGCTACATATAATTGTCTCACATCCGTATCATATATAGAAGTCGTCTAAAAAAAGCAACGCTGGAAGTGAGCAACAAGCGATACTGATATTACATCAAGCCGCACCCGCCTAGGCAGAAAAAGTCTTGAACGTGAACAGTCATAATTGTTTTGCTGATCAGAAGTCTGAATGACTCTTTATATTTTAAAATGGGGATGTACATATATTTACCAGCTCTCTCTCTCTCTCTCTCACTCTCTCTCTCTTTATTCTTATTATTTAAACCACCCCGTGACCCTCACAAACAACTTTATGATCTTTATTTAAGACCGCGCCCATTAGTTTGGGGAAACACATTATTAAAAGAATTTCTAACAACTTATCTCAAAATATCAGCCTCAAACACTTAGAATTTTCCTTTTCCCACTCTTCATTGATTGATTGATATTTTTATGGCTTATCAACCCTTTGTGGGTTATTTAAAGCTGAAGAATATTTGGGATTGTAAGAACAATTCATTTTTTTTCTGTCGAGTGAATATTGCATTAACAATTTTTTGGAGATAACAATAATTGTACTAGATACAAATTCTACTATTTAACCCATAGTTGGGGGGAGGTGATAGATTCATACCTTTCCTAAGAGTATTTGTGCGTAAGTGAATGTAACGAACCTGATTGAATTTCGAACTCGGCTCATTGTTAGCAAATAAAAGGACAAAAACGAGTTCATCGACAGGATATATTAAATCAAAAAGACGGGACGCTCATAATAGAAAAAATAGTTCAAAGATGAACTCTTTCGCTACAAAAGATTATATCCTACAATACACAAATATATGGAAGGAGTTGAAATATTAAAGTCTGAAGAAAGATCAGTATCTTTGTATGTTATCCACAGCCGAAACGTATATTGGATTGAAAGTATATATATATATATATATATAAGTGAATAATGCATTAGCATTTATTGAGGATAACAATGATTTTTCCAGATACATGTCCTACCATTTAGGCCAGGAGATGGACTCGTACCTTTCCTAAGTGCATTTGCGCATAAATGAATGTAAAGAAGCTGATTGGAATTTGAACTCAGTTCTCCAGTTTCTCAATCCGAACCGCTATCCATTACACCACTCGCACATCCACAGCCACTGTTCTTGATATTTTCTCAGATCAGCATATATGATACAAAATACAAATAAAAGGAAGAGTATGTTACGTCAATCTTCTAAGTGAAGCCAGGCCTCTTTCAGAATTGTAGTTTTTAATCTGGATTCGGACATCGACCTTTGACACCAATGAGAAAGACACAACTATTGCAGCCAAGCGGTTTGTTTTGCGTAAAAAAAAAAAAAAAATGAATATTAATTACATTAAATTTTTGTTTTGTATGCTTGAAAGAATAGCATTCATTCCAAACACTTATTTTCCTATACCTTTTATCGTTGCTAAAAGATTAATTGGAAATATTTCTGTGGAGCACCTGAACTCTAATTTCAGACAACTTTTCTGCAGGAAGGTCGCTCTGAAAGTAAAGCTTTCTATTTTTCTATGTGGCACACCATTTCAGAAACATTCGTCTTTACTAGTGTTTTAAGTTCTGCGATGAGTTATTATTTCATGTATTATTCAAAGTAATATCTTTATCTTTATTTTTATTTTTTTAAATGAAAATAATCGACAGAACAGCCCAACAAACAGAAAGGACAAAGTTTGCAATAAACAATAACAAGAACAAAAGAACAGGGCAAAAAAAATCTAAAGCAAGCAAACAATATATGCAAGCCAAATTAACAGTAATACGACAAAGCAACATTATTATAACAAAAAGTTTACAAAGTAAGAATTGGGGTTGACACAAAAATGTGAATTCGAATAAACGAACGCGGCCTTATAACTTCAAGACAAGACAGACAGGGACTTGTCAGATGAAACCGAGAACTGGCTTATTTTATTGTCTAGGAAGAAATCCCAGCATGCATTTGTGTGGTTCTGCCTATAAATTGGGGAGGGAAAGAGTTTTGCAATCATTCCCAACAGTTTTTATCATTTCGTTATATTCATGGGTAAGAGTGCTCAATATCAGAGACAGAATATATGTAAATATAAAAGTGGACACTGATGTCACCACCAACAAACTGTTTCATGCTTGAACGCAATCTTCAGGCTATGAGTGCTGTGTTTTGGCTTGACTATATATGGTGCATTATGGGTAGCAAGGTCTACTGTATTATCCTAATGGTTATTAGGCCGACGGTAACGATTATGTTTTTTATGGCAACACTTTTTGAAATATTCTTTTAGCCTTGTCTTTCTTTTATTTAACTTACACCGTGCAAATATTTTGAAAGACGAGTTTACAAACTATCACTCTACAACGGGCGTCAAACACATTTATTTTGTTCAATTTGCTACCAGGCTAAGACGATATTTACAAAACAAGGCCTATATCGTGGGAGCACATAGTGAGCAATCAAACTCATTAACCACAGTAGGTATAGTACGTATTAGCTAATCTGAGCTAAGTGCGACACAATATCAGCTTAATATAGACAAATAAAATATATTAAAAATATTAAACAAAATATAATATAAAATATAATTAAATCAGTAAACAAAAAAATTCTCGTTGTATAAAACGCATTAGTCTATGATACTATTTCTACCTATTTTGTTCCTCACTAGTTGAAGAATTCATTTTCGTCAAGCAAAAATTTTGCTCAATTTTTAAAAAAATCTTGGCACTGTTTACTTTATAATGACCTTCAATCATCCATTTTTTGTCAGCTCACTTTACTAAGTAAGGCGATAATGCCACTCAGACGCAAGCATGCAGTTAAAGAAATTCGCGAATCATTTGTTAAGAATAATGTAGAAGTGCTTCATTGGCCTTGTTAATCTCCTGATTTGAATTCAATTGAAAATATATGGCGAAGCTTGAATGACCAAATGTAACACAGAGATCCTAGAAAGAAGAATGATTTAAAGGTTGTTTGCAAGGATCAGTGGGTCAATATTTAAAAAAAAATATTGCGAAAGTCTTGTGAAATGTAATGAAAAATGCCTGAAAATTAATTGCAATCTATAGCAATAAATCCAGTTGAAAGTAAATGTAAGCGTCAGAAATATATTAGAATAAATATTTAACAAGTGTCTAAAAACCTCTATCCAACAATCTACAAATGTAATCAAACCAGTAAATGAAGCAATGTTTACGCTAGCAGTGTAAAATAAATACAAAATTAGCAAACATAAAACAAATTTGAAATAGTTTTTACAGCTTATTCCCCACCAACTCTTCGAAAAAAAAAAACAAAAAAAAAAAACAAACCCTCAAATGAGCATTTCCCAAGACAACATGGCAGTGTCTCTGTACGTATGTAGGTGTGGGTGTGGCACATAGCCTTTTTGGTTTTACAAATATATTTTGTCCACTTTTCACATTCCAGCGAAACAAGTATTTAAAGATGAGCTTTGTAATGAAAATCCAAGATAGGCACGCGGGCGACAACCCTCTTCCCGTGAATCAACCTACACATTCACACAGCTAGTGTATGTATGTAATAAGATAAGACATACACACGTAGATACATACAAATACATAGGTAGTGATATATACACATAATCGCGAGCTCGTATGTATACAGATATTTATATGCATACGTACAATAACATGCGCACACATGATTTGATATATATATATATATATATATATATATTAGTGGTAAATATACACATACATATGCAAAATATATAGATATATATACGTAGGTGCATACATATATGTATATTTTTTTTGAATAAAAATTCGAGAGGATAGAATCCAGGTAGAACTCAATGTCCAGGATAGAGTAGGATATAATAAAAAAGGCTAACACTAATATTTAAGCCTTTTTTATATATATATATATATATATATATATATATATATATATATATATATAGGATAAAAATGTAATTTTAACGTATGCTATATTTATAGGTAAAAGTGCTCAAAATCACAGATAGAGCGTATGTAAATATAAATATAATAATGGACGACATTGAGATCAACACCAAGCGACGACAATCTGTTTTATGCTTGAACGCTATGTGTGTTGTTTGACACGACGATTTATATATGTTGGTTAATGGTGCTTTATGGGTAGTAAAGTGTATTGCATTATCCTATCGATCATTGATTAGGGGGTCATTATTATGTATTAAATTATTCTAGAGGCTATTGTGAAGAAATGATTATTAGAAAGAAATATATTTTTGTGTTGATGATGTTTGTTAGACGTTAAAAACATGTTTATAGCCGCTTGCAATGTTATGTACAGTGAGCTTCTGTGTTTATTAGTTATTGAACATATGTAATACATCAATTTCAAGACTAAAGGATATTTGATGCATTTTGTTTTGGTTGTTCATTGGATTATGTCTATATCGTGACATTTGTTTTTTATGTCATATATATATATATATATATATATATATATATATAGGTGTGTGTGTAGTGTGTGTAGTGTGTGTGAGTATTTCCTACAAGTATCTGTCTAATATCGGTTGCAATATGATAACCTTGTGTGCAATGTCAATTAATATCAGCTTTTTAGGTATATATTTAGTGTCTGATAAATGGCAAGTTAGTTGATGAGAAAGATTTGTTTTGGCTTGACCGATGTATATGTTAAATTTTATATAAATAGATAAAGAGAAAGGGAGAAAAACTTGTTGGAATAATAGATTATGTTCATGAGAAACTCCAGAAAAAAAAGATACAGATAAAAAGATATATAGGGAGACGAGAAATGAGATTTGGATGTTGAATTTTGTTAACTTTTTATTTATTTGACTTCTGAACATTCATGTGAAAAAAAACACACACACACACACATAACTGGTTAAACTGAAACCCATGAGAAAAGCATGAATCAATTTAACCATGATCTTTGTCCTATCACTGCATTACTTAACAAAAGTCTCGTCGCTAGCATGTCACGAT